TCCTTCCCTCCCCCCACCTGCCAGTATTGAGAATCGAACCTGCAACCTTCGGGTTACAAGTCAGACTCTCTAATCATTAGGCCACAACTGCCCCCACACACTAACCTGAATCAAGGTCTTCAGGCTCACTAGAAAATTCCAGGCAAATGTGTTGAAGCTGGTTGGAGCGAAACTCTACTGACCCTCCAGGAGCAGGATTGGACACCCTTGCTCTACATCCATGCATCCCACTATCCCCTTTAGAAATCAAGGGATTTGCTATGTTCTCTGGTAAACTCTATTGTGAAAACACCCTTATTTGTCAAAAGCAGGCTTTTAACCACTGCTCTTTTGTTCATAGGCATGCCTGACAGGCCACTGTTGCTGAACTTGAATGAGCAGGACGTTATCCCGGACTCTACTACTACTAGTCCACCTTCCAGCCTCTGTTCTCCTGGAAGTCCTCAATTCCTCAATTGCAGATTATACGCCGAGAGACCACAAAGTCCCGTACAAACTGAGACCTTCCACTGGCCGGATGTCAAAGAGTTGCGTTCCAAATATAACAACCAAAGGCAAGATGATGCATCCGCCTCCTCTCATCCATTCCCATTGAGTCGCAGTACTTCTTTTTCAGAAAGAGCTCTGGAGAACGGATCGGAGAGATCCAGAGCATCACGTTCTTTGTCTTGTTCATATCCTTTCTGCAATATCTCAGTGCAGAGAACTACATCCACAGATTCTACGTGTTCCAGCAAGACCCTTGAAGGTGAAGGTTTGCCTTCACTGTGTAGAGTTAATGCTTTTGATTTCAGCTTGGGATCCACTAATGCACATGAGCAACTGGACAGAGGTTGCAACGCTGGTCAATATGAGAACAACCTCATTGTAGTTGAGAGGATCTGCCAGGTCAAGCATGAAGAGGGTGATTTAGCAACAGGGAGAGAGAACAATAATGAGAATCAACTTGGATGTGAGGGTGTTTCACAATCTGAACTTGCAATGGCAAACAGTAAAGAGCAGAACTTTAGTGCATGGATGGAAAAGGCAGAGAACGGTCAACATAGTTTGGTTAAAAACCTGCGGGAGAGATTTCAGAACCTGAGTTCTTATACATGAGACTTATACTGCAAAACTTTTACTCAGAACTCTCAGATCCTTAAAATAACTTACAGCTAGTATTCTGATCTCCAAAATATGTAATTTGGCCACTGTTTGAGAGGTGTAATACATCTTGCACAGGTTAAGCATGAATCTTAACCTCCAGTTATGAATTATCAGCAAATCAACTGGAAAAGTGATCCATGTGGACCTCAGAGAATATATTTATGAAATTTGCATTTGTAAATATATGTATATTACAATTTCCTTGCATTATTTTGTGCATATTTCATTGAGATGTAAACACTTGTTAAAGGAGCTGGCTGTGGTACTGTAATTTTTGTAATGTTTGGAAAAGTGGTTAAATACTTTTTTTTTTTTTTCTTCCAGACATTTTGAAATAAAAAGCAATAAGGAAGAACATACAAATAGATCAGTGCATACTAAATTACCAATGCACCTGTTTTTGTTAGAAACTTACTTACTACACACAAATTTGTCATGTTTTCAGAAAAGCACTGCAATATTAAATGCAATCTGTTAGTTATTTTGAAAGGCACTGCCTGATGTCTCTTCACTGTTTGTGTTCGAGCGCTGACCAGAGGAAAGAGAGTAATCTCATAAAGACGTCATTCCCCACTAATGAGGAGAAAACTGGATATCATAATCAGATTAAACCAGATGAATGATAAACGGTGACTGATGTCATTTTCAATCTGAAATGTTTTCAGCCGGGTGTGTACGGTTAAAAATGGTCAAATAGTGCTCAGTTTGGTGTAAAATTAAAATGCTGCTCTTTTTGAAAACGTATTGTGCCGTGTCTGCCGATTTCTAGTTGTTTAAAGGTCAGATGTGATTCCACTCATCTGAGAATTTGCTTGCAAAATTCTCAGCATTCAGCATTATGGGGTCATTGTTAATATATAATGCAACATATTAATGCACAGTCACAAAATGTGTGTTTGGGTGTCGTTTAATGGGAGGTTTTATAAGCTAGCTTGTTTTTGGTTGTATTTTTCTGCTCATTGGTGGGGTTTATCTCCGTGCATGATGTCACTGTCACTTTTGTATTTATTTGAATTGGTGTAAATATGATGCACAATACCTCTGTAAAAATGTTCAGTTCATATTCTATTTTTCTGTCAAACTACATTAAAAGAAGCTTTCCACACTATAATCATTATTTCCTTTGTCCTGCTCACAATGTTTCTGTGTTTTTTGTTTTTTTTTAAGAAACTTGTATCAAAATGATTGCGCATGACTTGGGGCCGTATTACAGTTTAATTAGTTTCTGCACTTTTAAATCAGTCTTCAGGACGTGGATATGATTAATGACTTTCATGGAAGGAGCCAAGCCTTAATCTTATCCTGGATTACAGATTGAATGGATATACAGAGGCAAGTACCTTATTGAAAGCAAATAACAGATGCTTTTATATTCTTACAAGGCGTTTATTACATCGACAATCCTCCTGGACCAACAATATACAGTACACTAGTGTTCAATAGTTTTTAATGTTTTCGAAGAAGTCTCTTCTGCTCACCAAGGCTGCATTAATTTGATTAAAATACAGAAAAAGTTGTGAAATATTGCTATTTCTATGTGAATATACTTTAAAATGTAATTTATTCCTGTGATGCAAAGCTGAATTTTCAGCATCATTACTCCAGTCTTCAGTGTCACATGATCCTTAAAAGATCAAATGTTAGAATAGATTAGATAGAAACTACATTATGCCTTTGTATATTTTCATAAATAATCGTAAAGTTGTATAATTCATTATTATGCGTCCATTATTCAACATTAATAGGAATATGTTTTTGCATATCTATGATTTTTCATTAAGACTGTCCTAGAAAGAGTCTACAAAGAATCTTTTACATGTTGTTGATGAAGATGATGTTGATGATGAAGATGAACTCCTCCCCTCCTGCTGAGCAGGTTTCAGGTTCTCAGTCTCTCTCTGAAGGTCTGACTCCGGACAGTTATGGAGAAGCAGAGCGACTCAGACAGCTAGAGACACACGACTAACCCGCCCAGCGGACGGACAGCTAACCAGCAGCGGTTTATCTGAGAGCTGAGGGAGTTGTGCTCGCGTCAGGATGGGCTGCGCGATCTCTGGATCCGGATTGACACCGAGAACAGCAGAGAGCAGACACACCGAGGACGAAGCTCCAGCGAGACTCACTCCGGATCACATCCAGCTCATCAGAGAGTCCTGGAAAGTCATCCAGGAGGACATCGCCAAAGTGGGAATAATCATGTTTGTCCGGTCAGAATTTTCTTCTTCCAACTCCGGTTTATTGGTATAGCGCCTTTCGTGATGCATATCATTTAAAGCAGCTTTACAGAAAATGCACGTTTCAGTTCGCAAATATTAAAGTGAAAACAAATCATTATGTTGCACGTTGAATGATAATAAGTGATAGTGATATTTGATACCTGTTGATGTTTCACATAGTGACTAATATTTAACAACAAATCGATATATTACGTCATGTCTCGTCCAAACCGAACTAGTGTAGTACAGACCGGGGCTAGTTGTCACATTATTTACTTAAGCTATATATTTTATTTTTACTTAATATTGTATAGTCTCTTGACTGTGTAAAACACACACACACACACATATATATATATATATATATATTCTCTTTTCTTTTTAATAAGTAATTTTTTGTGTTTTTGTCATTTTCATTAGTTTTTTTTTAAAGTGTGTAGTTTTTATTAATTTTTATTTCAGTTTTAGTTATTTTAGTACTTCAAGTTAAACAAAAAAAGAAAAGAAAACGTGCTGAAATAAAATGTTTTTTTTATTATTTCAGTTAATGTTTATTTGAAGTAACAAAAACTGTAAATATATATATATATATATATGCATATTTATTTAGTTATTTATTTTTTAATATGTTTAATTTAACATGTTGATCCCAAAGCGGGGCAAGTTGTCACAATGTATTGACAACTTATTGAAATATGATATACTTTCTAGTCATCTTTCATAACATGTAGTAATATATTACAGTCTATTTAATGGCTGGATTTATATTTATATCATCAATGTTACAAAAAATATTTTCTGAACCCAGGAGCCTGTCTTTATTTTTAAGAATAAAAAAATATTGCATATTGCATCTTAAAGTCACACGGCTAGTCAATCACAATGATAAATTGTTTAAGATCACAAACAGAAAATCAAGTTTTCAAGTCCATTATGTAATGCAAAACACTTTCGAATGTTCAGATCTGTCATATAGAGACACTTTTTACATCCAATCAATTAATTAAATTAAATTAAGTCCCGCCCTACAGTGTTTTCCTGTTGAACATCGTGTTTAAATCAGACATGCGTCACATTACAGAAGCAAAACGGCTTTCAAATGGCATTTCACATTGACTTCAATGTCGTCTGGCATTATGATACTGTATGGAGTTTATTAACGGTTAGCAGACAACAATTCAGCTCAATGTTGATAAATGACGTCTGAAAGATTGACTTCAGCATATAATCGGTCTAAAACACCACAGCTCAGATTATCTGCAATATAAAGCAATATAATGAGTTTTTGCTCTTGGTTACATTCAGTGTATCTCTGGCATCATGAAAAAGTGCAAGGTCTGAAGCAGGTTAGTGAGAAAAGTGCGAATGGAAAAGCTGAATCAGACTGAATCAGGTTAAAATAATGATTCAGAAGCAGCTTTCACACCTCTAGAGAGCTGATGCTCATGAACACCAGGTGTACCACAGCTCTTTTGTGCTAAAATACACAATTACAGACTTTCTAGAGCTGTACATACGCATCTTTAGAAAGCGTTTTAATTCTGTTTGGTTTAAAGCAAAATGCTTTTCATGCAGACACTGACTTGAATGCATCAAATGTCCAGAGATGGCAAAAGGTTAAAAACTGCGTCTCTTTGAGTCTCACTGTGCTTGTCCAATATTATATTAATTGTTTTATTGATTTGCACTTAAGTGGCTCTCATTATCGTGTTGTTATTGTACAGATTGAAATATTTTCAGACTCAGACAGCTGCATTGTGTCAGCTTACTTTAGCATTTTGTCAGTAAATTGAGTCTTTTCTGGGCTTATTACGGGCCGAAGTCATTTTTTCCAGGCTCATAATAATGGATAAACAAAAGCACTCAAAACAAAAACCCAGTATATATATCTTTCTGAACACATTAAGACACATTCATTTGTCAGGAAGCAACATTTGCAGATTGATTTGTGAAACAGCTGTTACCAAACGATGGCGCCGACGCTGATGGCTGCCTCCGTGGCGTGCTCCGCAGTTGTTTTTATGTTTTTGTGTGTGTGTGTGAGTGTGTGTGAGTGTGATCCTGGACCACAAAACCAGTCATCGAAACTGAGATTTATACGTCATCTGAAAGCTGAATAAATAATATTTTTAGTTTGATAGTATTTGATATTGCTACAAATATACCCCAGCGACTTAACACTGCTTTTGAGCTGCAGGGTCACAAATAATGAAATTCATTTTATTTTTATTTTTTCTGTTTTCATTTTAATTTAGATTAATGTTTTAATAATTTTGTTGCGTGTTTGTCATATTTATTAGTTTTTGCTTTTTTTGTAAATGTCTAGTTTTCATCCATCAATTTTTATTTTAGTTTGAGTTATTTTAGTGCTTAAAGTTAAACTAAACAAAAATGAGAATTAACAGTCTGAAATTAAAAAGTTTGTTTTCAAATATTTTATTTTATTTCAGTTAATGTTTTTCTTTTTCAAGTAACGAAAACTGTTTTTTATGGTTTTAGTTTTAAATATCTAAAATATATTATTTATCTATCTATCTTATTTAACGTTGATCCTATAGTGGGGCAAGTTGACATCAAGTGTATTTATTGAAATATTATATATTTTTCAAAAAGTTATCTTCCATAATGTATCTGTATTGTAATTTATTACACCCTAAAGATAATATAGACTTACTATGTAACAGCATGTATATAGCTATACACGAGCATCTTTAGAAAGATTTTTAATAAAGCGAAATGCATGTCATACAGACAATGACCTGAATACATTTGTTTTATCATTTTATCATGTTTGTGCATCTGTGACGTTTTGTTTCTAATGCAATGCCATTCTGAGGTTTTTATGTTTGACTTACAGTAACTGTCCAAATACTGTAAATATCAGACTAATGTTCTGGAAACCTATGAAGGCAACAAATACAAGTTCATATTCCTGATAAAAGCTCATGAAATTCCTCATTAAGTGGCTCCTGTAACCATGGTGAATAGGAACCAGCGTGCAGTGAGATGTCTAAGGATCACTGTGTGTGTGTGTGTGTGTGTGTGTGTGTGTTTCTCCGAGGAGCTTCTATTCCAGGTTTCAGGTCCTGCTGTGGCAAACGCAGAGAAACTCATTATCGTTCCACAGGAGATGAGAGGAAACGAGCACTGATGTCATTCTCTGCTCTTCCTCCTCACTGTAGATTGTGGCTTGTTGTGTCATTGTTTATGGACACTTAATCAAACTAAATTCACCAAAAATCACACTAGAAAAACAACAACAGGGAAAAACAGTAAATCGTTAACACTGAAGGAACAGTTCACCCAAAAATGACAATCTGCTGTAAATGCACTCACCCTCAGATCATCTGAGATTAGGATGAGTTTGTTTCTTCATCAGATTTGGAGAAATGTAGCATTGCATCAGTGTCTCAGCAATGGATGCTCTGCAGTGAATGGGTGCCGTC